CAAATCAGAATAGCTGTTACCTGGGTCGGCCCATCTGAAGGAGTTTTCAGCGAAGTCTCAACTATATGATGCACGTGGACGTCATATAGGAGTGATCATCTGGTTCTATCGAAAGTCAACGACCAGAAGCAGCCATCAAACCAGAACAACGCTTCCACCTCGCCCACTCGTCGTGCTTCCTCCCCGGTGTGCCGCTCGTTCTCCCGACGTCGCCTCGCCGTGCTTCCTCCCAGAAACGCCGCCCGTATAGCTGGGCCCTAGGCAACCCAGGCCACGGCCCGGGACGTGTAAAAACATAGCAGCCCACTAGTTTGCCCTCTGCCTGGGCCCTGGCAGTCAGCCCACAAACTAAACGTCGATCTCTCTCTCTAAAGAAAAAAAGACTGAGCTGAAGGAGACACCTGCCCGACTGCCGCCGTCGTCCAGCCGGCCGCCGCCCGTCCGCCCGACAAGCCGGCTCGGCGCTCGTCCGGCGGCCGCACCCTCCCACTCATCCAGTAGCCGCGGCGCTGCCTTTATTCCAGGAGGGGCGCCCCTGCCGAGCGGTGAAACCCCACCCTGCCCAAATCCGTCGCCAAGCCACTGGCGTCCCCGATGGAGACATTTCCGCCGCCTCCGATTCCTCCGCTGCCCGCGAATGTCTCCTCCGCTCCGCCGCCGCCGCCGCCGCTTCTGCATCAGCAGGCCGGGTCTGCTCCTGCGCCGGCAACGCTCCTGGTGCGGCACCTCCCAGAGGCGATCACTCAGGACATGCTCGCCGGGCTCTTCTCCCGCTACGGCGCCACATCCTTTCGCCCATGCGGTGGAAAGTACTCACCTCCTCCCTGTCTGTCACTCCTGCTTTCTTTGGTTCTGCTCTACTGTTAACTCTTTTCATAAGTTGTGATTTACCTAGCAGAGTTCTTTATGTATACTATAATCTCAAAAGTTCTTTGGGTATACTGAGATTTGTCTGCTCGCCTAGGTAGCATATGGTATTTTTTTACTGAAACTATTTTCATCATGACATTGACAGGTTGAGGAACTGTGCGTTTGTGGATTTTAGGGACGAGATGGCGGCCAATCAGGCGCAGTCTCAGTTGAACAGGTTCATTTCCTCAAGCATACGTTCTGCTTGATTACTTGTAAATTTTCTTTGTTCGAGCCAGCTAATAATTATGGATTATCTCCGTGATCTTAATTTTGGAGTATCTGTCCTTCGTTATTTTCGTTTGCTAAGGGCTGGTTTTGGCAGGTTGAGGCTCCTTGGGAAAGTACTGATACTCGAGAGAGCAAACCAGCCAAATGCCAAGAATGCGAGTGAGAAGCATCATGAGCAATTAGCTCGCGGGGTGCCTCAAGTGCCAAGTATGAATTCCCAAAATCAAAAGAGTTCTACATCAACTGCCGAACCGATCGCTTCTAGGCTTGGTGTGGACTATCCATTTCCTCCTCATCTCGAGTATGTTAGCGCCATCATAGTTGTTTCACTCATTATCTTCCAACATCTTCCTTTTCTTGTGATCTTAAGCCATTTCATGTAGCTAATTGATATGTTGTGTCTTACTCGAAATGAAGCTACATTGTTGGCTGTAAAATATCATTTAGTAACTGAAGATGCGAACTGCTATCTGCAACTTCACCTTTGTTTTTGTAGTACTTCTCTTTTCTAATATGTAAGGCATCCACACATTCAAACATTGCTGAAAGCTCCCACACGAGGTAGTTTTATATTGGTCTAATTGTTGATCAAATTTTAATTTGGAATTTGTGGGCACCTTATATCAAGAAGCAGGGAGTACAATAGTACATTGTATCTCTAATTGAAAAGCTGCCTTCTTTTTCCTGTTTCAATAAAATGCTTGTCTCTATGAGAAGTTAGTAGCTCAATTTACCACTACTGGATTTATGACCTTTATATACAGGCCGTTAACAGTGCAAGTGTTTATGGCAAATTTGCTTATATTATCCAATTGGAAGTAACGAAATCAATCTAGCAAACCACTTCCAAACTATGAAGTTTTATATCCTGACCGAGATGCAATTCTGACTTCTGAGACTCCATACTCCGTAGTTCTGCAATGTTTCATAGTTTTCCAACGAGATCAACCAAGTCTGATTCATGCTGGCAGTCCTAATCCTCCATCTTACTTGACAATGTGGATCATGCTCTTTATTTGTTTTTAGGTATGCATATCCACCACCAGATGGAAACATATTGAACAATATTGTCAACTCTCTCATTGCCGTTCCCCGATTTTACAATCAGGTTTATTAGAATTTCAGCCTCGTGAACTACTGATACAATTTGCAGGGCATTACTTTGGGCATTCAGCATGAGCAAATGTATTTGATTGATGTATTTCTGTAACAGGTGTTGCATTTGATGAACAAGATGAACCTTCCAGCTCCATTTCGGATGGCATTGCCTACTCCACCTCTACCATCACAAGGGCCTCTTCCTCCTCCCCCTCCACCACCGCAGCCTTCTATGACAGAGAAACTTCACTTGGCTGATTTGTCTAGTGATGAGTCTGAGATGGAGTCTTCTGATGTTCGTGCCACTTCTTGTGTTTGTATCTTTCAGTTTGTAGTATCTCTGCCAAAAGTTTATGCACACTATATATATTACAGGAAGATGTTGATACAAGGGAAGTCAAGCGCGCAAAGCATGAAGCTATTGTTGGTCCTGCAGTTGATAGAAGTGTCGCTCATGAATCGGTCGGGGTGAAACCAGTTGCATTAGTTCCCAATGAGCTTCAAGTAATAAAAAAGAAAAACCCAGTACTGCAGGTGAAGCATTTTTCTCAAAACTCAAAAGTGAAGCATTCTTTCCCAGAACTCAAAAGTTGAATTACCTTTTCATTCTCTAATGCTATGGTTCTATGCAGATAAAAATTGTCCCTAAGGCTGCTTATAAGGAACTTGCTGATCGGAGTATTATCGACAAGGAATTGGCCTCTAGAGATGAACAACTTGAAGAAAAACATTTTGCCACACCTCAGGAAATAGAGAAAGAGAAATTACCGACGGAGGAGATTTTGTCCCTTCCCATGTTCAAGGTAGATGAATTCAGTATTTTGTGTCATTTGCAGAGACATTGTGATTACTTGTTGGTCAGCCTGAACATCTCGAGGTTTTAGTGATAATGATATTGCCTTTTAACTTCAAGATGATTATAACCAATGCACAGTATGTGTATTATCATCTGTTGTTCACTTTATTTTGTCCTTTGTATCTTGATGATGAGATGCTAATAATTGGCAGAACGATTCCTATTAGCAGATTTTAGATGTAGTTTCATAAGCTGGTGCTGCTAGGTGCTATGTAGTGGGGTCTATTATGTCACTATGACAATGATCAGAATAGAGATCATCATCCGCCCTTCTTTTTTTTACGAAAACAATGGGCAAATGCTGATTTTTCGCAAGTAAATATTACAAAATTTCCCTTCTGTTTATTGAATAACATAGTACAATCTAATTATGTTTTGATGCCTCACTGGCACATGCTTGTGTCTGTTTTGCAGAATTACACTCCAGGGAATCCTGCCAGTGTATTATATATTAAGAACTTGGCAAAGGATGTTGTTCATGATGACTTCTACTATGTCTTTGGTATGACCCAGGGAGGCTGAGTACCGCGTTTCTTGAAATGTTTATATAAGAATTCTGCACATTTTAGTGCCTTCTCATTTCCTCACATTGTTTCAAACTGCTCTTAACAGGATCTGTGTTTGAAAGCTTGGACGCTGCAAGATCTGGCTTAAGTATAAAGTTAATGCAGGTTAGATGTGTACACATGTTTTGCTTGTGCCATGATTATGATAAAAAGGGAACCTATTCATAAATTAATATCCAAAGTATGTTCCTCGCTCCTGCATCTGTGGATCATGGCAAACATTATCGAGAAAGCTGACATTTGTTTTTGGACCACATTAAAAAGTCTGCCACCATTTTGTTTCATTTTGCTAGTGCATCGTGCTGTTTCTGAAATTTTCTTATCTCGCTCCAGGAAGGTCGAATGCGGGGCCAAGCTTTTGTGACGTTTCCATCTGTTGAACATGCTGAACGCGCACTGGTTAGTGACTGCCGATTTTACCCATCAGTTTGTAGTATTGCACAAGAAAGCTAATGTATTGAAATACGGTAGAAACCCCATCAGCATACCCTCAGATCAAAAGCTGCTCACTGGACCCAGCACTAGCAGACTTTGTCTGCAGTAACAAAGTTATTAAGACCAAAAGGGAAAACATCTTACGCAGTTTGTTGTCAAGAAATAAGTTCTTTACAATTGGAGTTTCTTCTTTAATTCCTTATTCAGTCCTTGAGAAGCAGGGGTGCTAAAGAATAACGCCATTTCTGATTTTGCAGAATTTAGCGCATGGTTATGCATTCAAAGGCAAGCCGATGATCATTCAGTTTGGTAGGAACCCTGGTGCTAGCAAAGCGTCCTAGGAGGTTGCATTCTTTCCGATTCTGATTTTCTGTAAAGCTGTTAGAGTTAGCAACCAAGATTGTGGGTATTTTGTGCTGGTGCCCATGAATTGTTAAATTCCATGTGGTATATAACGGCACTTATCTTGTTGCTAGAATTTTAGGTAAGCAACAGCATTGGTTACTTCGGTCGGTTACCATATCTGATGTACCGCATCTCTCCATGAGAACAAATTCTGTACCATTCTACGGGTTTTTTTCTTCAAATTATTTTTATATTTCATGAAATCTCAGATCAATAACACTGTGGGACGATTTGGAGGAGAGGGGGAAATGAGGATGAGAACAATTTGGAGCGCCCTTTATGGCCATAGAGGGTCGGATGACAACTCTGTTAGAGTGACCTTTTTGACAAATATCAAGGGTTGGAGTAGAGTCCACATATTCAGGTCTGTACTTATCCTCATTTCCCCCTCTCCTCCAAATCTTCCTTGGCAAGACTCCTCCAACTGTCCAACACACGCGCAATCCTCAAACCCTAGCTCCTCCGATCCAAACACCTCCTGGTCCCTCGGTCCATCCACCATGGCATCGCCTGCCGGTGATGACAGCCACCTCTTCGCCGGTGTCCACTTCCTCCTCATCGGTTTCGACTGCGTCTCCGTGTCCCAGGTGCGTGCGGCTTCGCCTCCCCGCCCTCCCACTTTGCCACGCGAACCTAACTCTTCCATCTTGGATACTAACTTCCGGTGGTGCGTTCCTGTAGTACCGGTCGAAGTTGGTGCAGAGCGGCGGCACCGACGCCATGCAATTTGGCGGCGGGTGGACCCACATCGTCGTGCGCGGCCTTGTCCACGTGAGTCTGGCTTTACAGATCTGCGCTCATCGATACTTTTGGTGCTTTCTTGCGGATATGGTACTGATATTGGCTCTGTGCAGGATGACCCGGTCTGCGCGGTGGCGCGGGCGCAAGGGAATAAGGTTGTCAGCGAGATGTGGGTGGATGATAGGTTGGATCAGGGTGTTCTTGCCGATGCTGATAAGGTCCGTTTCTGTGCTAATTGTCTACTTCTCCTATATTTGCGTACCATGCCACAAACTTTCTCAGTTGTTGCTACTCTTGTCGCAGTAATGTAGTTACTTTTGTGGTCACAGTTCTGCCACTGCTCGAGTTTCCTGAAGCAGTAATATTTGTTTCCTTTGCCAGGTTATTTATTGGCCAGCCAGAGATTTGAAGGGAATACCTGGTAGTGGCTCACTGCAGATTTGCTTGACGGGGTACCAAATGAAGGACCGCAAAGATATAATGGTAACTGCTTGCCATTTGTATCCTCATATCTCCTAGTCAAAACTCTGAAACATGGCAACCTTTAGTTAATTCTTCAAACATAACATATATACAAATGTGAAGTTTTGGTCACATTGTGCAGTGATTTTCTTTGACTTTCATGCAATCAGGGGAGAGATACTTTCCTTTTCTTTCTCTACAGGGAGAGATACATGCAATCAGGGGAGAGATACTTTCCTTTTTCTGGAGGGCCAAGATCGGAATTACGAGGAATTAGAACAAATGCACCTTATATTGTGGAATTTTATCAAAAAAACAAATACACCTTATATAAAGAAACGGAGGGAGTAGTTGAGTTATTGGATTTTGTGGTTTACTGGTTATATATATCTTGACTTATAATGTACTGTGTTCCTTTTCGTTCTTAATGCAGAAAATGGTATCTTTGATGGGTGCACAATTCTCCAAACCTTTGTTAGCACCCTCAGTCACTCATCTTGTTTGCTATAAATTTGAAGTTTTGTTGCTTTTAGCAGACAGTCAGTGCCATAATTATGCATGGATAGTTCATTTTCGTTTTGTTGTTTTTCCTTCCGCGGTTCTTCGTTGCTGTTTCTTTGTAGTAGTGAACATGCATTTGCAAGCGCTGACATATTTTTTTATTTCCTACTGTTATTGGTAGATTTTTGTTTTAGATGTGATGTTAGTTTTGTTGCCAAGAATTTAACTCTATGGACGAGTGGGAATCTTATACCCAAATTGACATTTTGGCGTCAGTGACATTTTTCCCTCATGTTTGTCATCACATTAGGATTTTGGTGAACTAGTTCGTGTATAGAAGTCGTATGATATCTTGAGTTTAAAACTTAAATGAGCAATAATTAAAAATAATCCCAGCAACTTGGCTTCACGTTTTAGGCTAGAGGGAACCAAGACTTAAGTGGCAATGTTGAAGTAAGAATCTTTGATGTCATTTGGTGGTTGAACACATAGATGGCATCGCAGTGTGAGTCTTTGCTTTTCTTGTCTTTATGTGACCCATATAAAAAGTTATCTCATGATCATACAGCCTTTGGCATGAGTGATGTACCAAATGGGATGTGTTTTTGCTCCTGATCTTTTTCCCTTTTTCCAGTTTTGTTTTTTGGGCCTTTCTAGTTTGAACTGCTGGTTTCTGATAATACAAATCGGAGAGGAAATTCTCTTTATAGAAAGAGAGTGTTGGTGTACAGTGATGAACATATGAGAAGTTTTAATATGTGCGTGTATATGTCATGATGCTCTTTGCATAGTCTAGAAAGCCTCTGGTGAAAAATAGGCTTCTCGGTAACTTAAAATAATTCACAAGATGCCTATCGAATGTATGTTTCGGAAATTTCTATGTGCGTGTATATGTCATGATGCTCGAAAGTTTTTGTATATGCTCCTTAAATGCAACATCACAGTTCTTCAAATGAACTAGGTGAGAAGTACAAGTGTGCCGAAAGGTTGGGCATCAAGATTGTTAATCACCGTTGGTTGGAGGATTGGTATTACACAACAGCTTTTGTTTATAATATAAGCTCACATATTAAATATCATTATATTGCTGATTTTTCCTTTATTTTTATTCGGTTTTGCTAATTTACAGTCGGCTGTTTTGTAATTCGCTGACGTTTGAATTTCTGTCTGTTTGATCTCGCGTCGAGATTCGCGCTCGGTCCTGCTCTTTTGTGCTGGTTTTCGGGTCGCTTTTGTTTATCAGGCGCGGTTTTCTCCATCCGCCCGTTTTTCCTTGACCCGGCCGAACCGGTGGGCACTGTAGGTTTTTGTCCCTTTTGAATTTGGAGCGGGGTGTCGTTCCCCTTTCTCATTTGGATAAGGCAGAGGGAGTGAGAGCTCGAGCGGCGGCGGAGGGCGAGGCGATTCCCCGTGTTCATGGCGATTTGGAGTTCATCCGCCCTAGGATTTTGACGGCATCCTCTTCGTTCTCGTCGCCCGCGGCTGCGCTGGTTTGTTGCCCTGTCTTCTCGCGCTTTTGTGCTTGCTTTTCGTGGCCATGTAGTTCCAGATCTAGGTGATTTTTGGGTTCGCGGATCCGCGGGATGTGTATGTTTCTGGCGCGGTGTTCTCCATGCCCGTGATGTGTGTGTGTTTTGTGCGCGCGTGAATTTCTGATAGGAGCCTTCAGTGTGCCACACGTAGTCTTCATGCCCGAGGTGTGTGTGTTCCTGCAGATGTGGAGGAGCGCCCGCCTTAGGGTTCTAGTTGTTGATGTGTAGGTATGCGTAGAGGATAGTTTTTCCTGCAGATGTTGTGGAGGTATACGTAGTTGGTGTTAGTTTTCAGCTGCAGATCCCGTAGCTTGTGTCTGTAGTTCGAGTTGTGGCTAGAGCGCCTGAATTTTGTGATGTTTGTGTCGTTTTTGTCCGCTGTTGTTCATCTCGGTGGCTTACTGATCAACTCTATGTATTTTTTGTTCATTTTTGTTCTGCACTTTTCCTGAATTACATGCTTGTTTTTATGTATTTCCACCATGATATGAGTGTACATAATATCAAGGGTCTGCAGATTTATGTGCATGAAGTTCTGCTGTGCATTTTTCTCACCCTTTTTTAGTTCACATATATGCTCACTGTATTTTGTCCTGTAGAGGGTCACTGCTACCTTATGTGTCATGCCGTGGTCTTGTGTTTTTCTTGTGGATGCAGTCCAAATCCTGTGCCCTCCCCAGTTAGGTTGTTATTGTTGATGTGTATTTTTATGTGTCCTAGAGTTGATGTGGAAGTAGGCGTAGTAGGCATTTAAGTTTTAGTTGTGGATCCTATAGCTCCTGTCTCTGAATTCCGAGTTCTGGTTTGTAGCCACTGTAGGCCCTGAATTTTGGTCATCTTTGTAACGTTTTCTCGTCTCTTGCCCGTGGTTTCGTGGCCGTGTAGTCTCAGATCTAGGGGATTTTGTGGATCCGCAGAGTTTGTTTGCCATGGTGTTTGTAGTCTGCCGTGGTTGTGGCGTCGGAGGTTGCAGCGTGCCATGCGCAGTCCGCCGTGTCTTCCTTTTCCTGCTGTGGACGGAGGCCAAATTCCTCCTGGTTAGGATCCCATAGGACATTTTTTGGAGGCAGTGTTGTGGCTGTTTGATGTGGAGGTAGGCGTAGAACGCTAGATTTCCCTTGCTGTTGATGTGGAGGTAGGTGTGGTAGGGTTTAGTTTTGAGGGGTGGATCCAGTAGATGTTGAACTCTGAAGGATCGAGTTCAGTGATTTCGCGCTCAGCATAACCTTGTCATTGTTGATGTGGAGGTAGGTGTGGTAGGGTTTTGTTATACTGTAAATTAGTGTAACTGAGATTTTTTTCAGAGTTGGTCTACAGTTCCTATATAGAGCCTTTCTGCAGTTTTAAGTGTTTCAGTGTTTCTCGTTTTATAGCCTGAACCTTATCACTGTGTAAGCTTTTTCCCTCTAATTACCGTGGGGATAGCTTGTCTTTTTATCATTTTCCCCTACAGTCTCTTCATGTAGCTACCCTGTTGTGCATCACACAGTATTTTTCACCGGTAATTACTATGTAGTTTTGGGTGGTAGTTATACCATAAATTACATAGTAATTTGACCGATAATTTCTGTGAAATTATAGTGTAATCCTATCCCATGATTTACTGTCTAGTTCGACTGATGTTTACTCTGTAGTCCGATTTCCCCCTTTTTACACAGTAATTTGACTGATTTTACTGTGTAATTTGTGTGGTAGTTACACTGTAATCATATTCCATTTACACTATAATCTGTCGCGATTTTGCGCAGTATTTTTTACCCCATAATAACTGTGTAATTTGTATTCTAGTTACACTGTAATCTGATGCATTTTTGCACCGTAATTTCTCCCGTATTTTATTTGTGTAATTTGCATGCTAGTCACCCTATGATTTATGCATGAGTGGCCTCGCCGTTCACCCCTTTTTGTTGTGCAGCCCTACAGTCTTTGATGTTTTTGTTGAAATCTGAATGATCCCATGACTTCTGTTCATCTATTTTCTAAACCTTAGTAAGCAGTCGATGGATAAGTTTGTGCAGTCTTGATTTTTGTGAAACCTTTGTGGTGCTTTTTGACCACTCATGTGTGGTGGCTGATGCTTGATCTGCGAGTAAGACCCAGTAAACTAGTCATATGTTTTTGGCAGCAGATGCTCTTGCTTGTGTGAATTACTACTTCAGAAGTTCTTTGGGAATTTGTCTGTCAATTTTGGTTCTGCTAATAACTCTGAGATTTTGTCTTCCTAGTTTGTTCAATATCACCATCACTGCTGTATCTAGTGGCGTGAGGCTTGTAAAATATCTATACATCACGTTTTCTGTTGAAGGTTGTTTTGTCGCGTGCATCCAATTCACAAGCCCGCTGCCTTTGCATTGTAATATGTTGCGCTTTTGCACTGTAACTGTGTAATTTGTATGCTAGTTATATTGTAATCTGATGCGTTTTTACACTGTAATTTCTCACGTATTTATTGTGTAATGTGTATGCTAGTCAGTTTGTAATTTCTCTTATGTATATTTTGAGGCCCATTTTTTCTCTCTATTGTTTTTCAGGTAGTATCTCAATGGGTAGACTGCGGAAAGTCTCTCGCAAGGATGTTCCCCTAGTTTCTTCAGTCGAGAGCGCTGATTCTTTGAGAGACCCTTATGTGCCTAATGATTTTGCTGATGATGGTTCTAATGCTATGTCTTTGGGAGTTATTATTTGTCTTCTTATCTTCTTTCCATTTCCATTTTCATTTTCTTTTATATTTTTATATTTTTTATTAATTTTTGTTATTGTTTTTTGATATATTTTTTCCTTTTGCAGGGTTGTTCTGGTGATGATGAAGAGTTTGATAAAACACTTTACAATTTCTATCTGAATAATGTAAGCCATTTTTTCATGTTTCTGGTGATGATGAAGAGTTTGATGTTTTTATTCCATATTTTTTCATATGTTGGTTTGATGATTTTATGTTTTTTGTTTCTTGATCAAAAAGTAAAGTACCTGAAGAGAAAATTATCATCTGCTGGCAGAAGGAATGTTGTAAGTCTTTTTTTCTCTTTCGTTAATCATTGGGTCATTTGTATGGTACCTACACTGTAAATTTACCCTATATGAACTGTAATCTAAATGCCCTTATTACTGAGTGATACTTAGTGTGAAATTTGTATGGTAGTTACACTGTAATTTTATAATCATTGTGTAATTTTGTATGGTAGTTACACTGTAATCCTATTCCTTTCTTACAGTGTAAATTTACCCATATCTACACTGTAATTCAAACGGGAAGTGGAAATTTACCCATATCTATACTGTAATTCGAATGCCCTTTTTTACAGTGTAAATTTACCCATAGTTACACAATAATTTGACTGATAATTATTGTGTAATTTTGTATGGTAGTTACACTGTAATCCTGCACCTTTTTACAGTGTAAATTTACCCATACCTGCATTGTAATCTGATGCCTTTTTTTACTCAGTAATTTGACTGATAATTACTATGTAATTTGTATGGTAGTTACACTATAACCTTACACCTTTTTTTACAATGTAATTTTACCCATATCTACACTGTAATTCAAATGCCATTTTTTACACAGTAAGTTGACTGATAATTACTGTGTATTTGGTATGGTAGTTACAATGTTAGTACACAGTAGTTAAAATCTAATTCCCCCGATGTAATTTTACCCATGTTTGTATTGTGTAATTTGACTGATAATTTTATGTGTAATTTGTATGGTAGTTTCACTGTAATCCTATTTTTCCATTTTCTGCAGTGTAATTTTCTCCATAATGTATACTGTAATCTGTTGCTATTTAAACTGTAATTTTACACTTAATTACTGGGTAATTTGATATGCTAGTCCCAATGTGATTTTACTCGTGTAATTTTACCCCCTTATGCATTTTGCTCGGTGTAACCTTATGCATTTGTACAGTGTAATCCTGTCAGATGCTTTTCACGGGTCAAGGAAAGGACAGTAGGGCGACTGGTTCAACCTTTTTGTCACTGTTAGTTGCTTGACGGGTCACAAATACAGCCCGATCCGTTTTCTTCTGTAAAAACAGACATATAGCTGTCAACAGATTATTGGTTGGAAAATTTGAATGATAACCAATTATAAATCAGTCAATTGTTGAATAGACAGTCCCTTTTTATTTTACAGCTTAAAGTCATGGAAAATCCTACCAGAAGATGATTATAGCGAGAGGCAAGTAAATGTACATTTGCACGCTTCTTTCGATTTGTCTTTTCCACCTGTGTTGTATCCATGTTCTGATTAAATTGTCTCCCTATAGCGCTTACTAGCTGCGGTTGGCTAATCTATTACTGAGCATCCCAAAACCTAATCCTGGCTATTTGTTTCATTCAGTGAAGTAGGGATAGTGGAGGCGCAAGCAAGGAACGCCTCAAGTTCCCGATTCCGGATCGCCTCAAGTTCGCAAATGGGAAGTATGCCGTGAATAAAGCGAAGAAGATAAGCAGCAAGGTTCTCGCCGCAGCCCTGGCGCTCCTAAACCGCGCCCATCCGGAGGTGGGCACCGACTTTTTGGCGTGCCATGATCTTCCTCCCGACACCCAGGACCAGACCGCCAAGTGCGCCAAGGTCGCGAAAGCTTTTGTTGACTCGTGCTTTAGCAAGCTCGAAGCAGACGAAGCCTGATGAACAACTAAAGATGGGCCTTGTTTGTAGATACAGCCTGAACTTCTTTTGTTAGAATAAAGGTTATGAAATCTTCAGAGAAAACCAGTGAAAAGGAGTCAAAGGCCGTCACCTGTCGTAGCGTTCTGTCCCTGCCCCTGCCTTTCATCGGTGAAATGTATCCCAGAAAGCTTTCAGAATTGACTTGGTCTCATTGCAATTGGGAGGCACAAAAAGTGGCGTAACTTATGGTTCAGATTCTCCTATGTATTGGGACGATGATCCTCGTAGTATTATCCTAGCTGATATTGTGGGCAATGTAATATTTGAATTAATTAAGTGGCTGAAGATTAAATGGCATTCCTAAAAGAACTTCTCTGGTGGATGGCGTCTCTTCTCGTTCTTTTGCTTCCCCTACCAAGTTGATTTCTCAAAACCAACATATTTGTGACTAGGGTAATAGACGGATTCGGCTTGCCTGCTTCCTTCCCATGCTCCCATCTGTGCTCCCATCTCATCCTATGGTTGTCTTTTTTCCTCTTTTCTTTCTAATCTAATCATCCCCCCTCCCCTGATTTTAAGGGGGTGGGGCCAGGTTTTATTTTGTTCCAATCAAATCAAGCCACGTACGCAGAAGCACGGATGGGCACACGCCGGGGAGCAGGCAAGTCTCGTCCATAATAGACAACCACCACTTGTACACAAAAATAGCATTCATAAAAACTTAAATAATATTTTCACAAAAAGTCTGGTCATAATTGTATAAACCAAAAGGTTTATGTCTATAAGCATAAGGTCCAAGGATACATGTAAAAGTTCTTTTCTCTTAATCTCTAGGATACACGGGTATTTCAAAAAAAAAAAATCAGAATCGTCATTAAGATAACAAAAGATGTGTATGGTTAGATGATTTTCTAACATTTGATCAATGAACGGTAGGGATAGTGATCTTTCTTGTTTTTATTTTATTTTTTCATAGCCAATGCATGTCTTATATCTCTACTATTAAAGGGGGATCGAACGTCGTGATGGTTCGACCTCGTTCAATCCCCACCTCCCTTCCTACGACCACCTCCTTCTATCGATCGCCCCACGCCACCGATTTTCTTTCACGGTGTGTCCCACTTCCACCTCCGGTTTATAGGAAAAAACAACAAAACTAAACAGCCCTACCCACACACACGCCTCACGAAGTCACGATCCCCAACTGTCGCTAGACCAAGCCAACGTGCACCAGGTCAAGGCGTTACACGTGCGATCGGGAGGCGATCACGGCTGCTAGGGTTTCGCTCATGGGGATGGTTTCTTGCTGGCGGCCGTAAGGATTACGACCGGCGTGATCCATTGGCTGGCCAGATCGTGTGTTGGTCGTCTCGCTCTTGCTTGGTTGTCGCACGGGGGCGACGGCGACGCACAAGATAATGCATCCCCTATGGAGGGTGTCCCGATCCTCATGAGATATGACACGGAGGAGGAGGATGCAGACCACTCGGCAAGGCTCGGAGGAGGAGGATGCAGGCCACGCAGTAAGGCTGGGACTGGGAGGGCTCATCTTGATGGAGAAGGAAGACCAAGGGATGCTCTTTGAGGACGAGCCAGGTGATCAATTCCAAAACCTTAGATGGATTGTTGCGGGCAAATGTATGTTCGTCGAGAAAACTCAACATCACGGAGCTGGAAAAAACCATGAAGAGTAGGATGGGTTTGGTCGAGGGGAAGCGGCGGTTTGTCGCTATTTGTACTTTTGTACAACTCATGATTCTTGAGTAAGGACTTTCAGCATGCTTGCAGCCCTGCTGCTCTGCCTGAACATGACCTGGAGTGCCGGCCTAGCGCTTATCATGCTCAACTTCATGGACGCCGCTCTAGCAACTCACAATTGTCCTTATTTGTTTCGTGCTGCACTTCTGCCTCTGGTTGTCGCACGTACAGGTTGCGGGCTGCGTGGAGGTGTGGCGGCAGCGATGACGAGGATTAACCATCCACGACGAGCACCGCTGCAGCTATTCCTGTTGTGCTCATAGCCTCACACGCTGTGGAGCCGGTCTGCCCTAGCCTTTCCGATCAGCATCCCCGTGCACCTCCACTTGGCTGATCCAACGCGGGCGACTGCCTGCCAATCCCGGTAGAGCTTCTCTCTACCCACCATGGCCAAGAGGTGGGCAAAATCCAATGACCGGGCCGATAGGATGCATCTGTAAAGAACCTCATCATCTCATGAATACCAGATTTCCAAGTTCTCCTGGGTAGTTCAGGCAAAAAATCTGAAATACTACTTCCAAATCGTCAAATGTTTCCATGATATGCTGAGTTAATTGTTGAATTTCCATGGAATTAGTATGACAAGTTTACAACGATTGGTATATCCCTGTTTGAGGCATGGTTTGAGGTAGTGAGTTCGTGTTCTGCTTATCATGCCGGCCTAGCGCTTATCATGTGTTGGGTTTCATAGTAATTTCAAACAATTTCCTACGCACACGCAAGATCATGGTGATGCATAGCAACGAGAGGGGAGAGTGTGATCTACGTACCCTTGTAGATCGACAACGGAAGCGTTTGGTTGATGTAGTCGTACGTCTCCACGGCCCGACCGATCAAGCGCCGAAACTATGGCACCTCCGAGTTCTAGCACACGTTCAGCTCGATGACGATCCCCGGACTCCGATCCAGCAAAGTGTCGGGGAAGAGTTCCGTCAGCACGACTGCGTGGTGACGATCTTGATGCACTACCGTCGCAGGGCTTCGCCTAAGCACCGCTACAATATTATCGAGGACTATGGTGGAAGGGGGCACCGCACACGGCTAAGAATATGATCACGTGGATCAACTTGTGTGTCTAGGGGTGCCCCCTGCCCCCGTATATAAGGGAGCATGGGGAGGAGGCCGGCCGGCCCTATTGGCGCGCCAAGGAGGAGTCCTCCTCCTAGTAGGAGTAGGACTCCTACTAGGAGGGGGAAGGAAGTGGGGAGGGAGAGGGAAAGGGGGGCGCCGCCCCCCCTCTCCTAGTCCAATTCGGACCAGGGGGGAGG